CTTGCTTCGCTTTTCTATACCTTTCACCATTTTCATCGGTCCTCTCCTTGTATAAGGCTTTACAACATTCCTTCTTAGCCTTCACCTTTGTTTGAATCCTTATGAAAATGAATCCAGAACAAAATCGCCCTAAACCCTAAACTGAAAATAAATTGAAAAGTATTGCCTTATTTAAGCTAAAAAAGCTCTAAATCTTAATTCCTGTATGAATCCAAGTTTCAAAACCATTCGTTACTCAAACTAATCAATTCAATCGTACACAAACCAATACGGTCTGATACATAAGGAAGTTATAATTCAATCATGTTAACCTTATGGGATTTCAGATGGCTCAAATCCTCCTCTCATTAACCGGTGTTCAATCCCAAAGTTCGGTGTACAGAAGAAAGGGGTTCATAGTGGTCATGGACTCATGTTCAGCTGGGATGCAAGACTCGTTTTGCCTTGTAAGGGGAGGATGAAAATTACAAAACACCAAATGAATCGGATTCGTATAAGAATCGGTCGAGCTAACCTTCGAGCATTCATGGGTGTAATTCGATCCCGTGGCTGCTTCTTTGATCCTTGAATTTGAGTTCCTGTAAAACAACTTCGAATCTTTTCAAGTAAGAAGTTCGCCCCTCTTTCCTCGCCCGATAGTAGAGGTCGATCCCTATCACCTTCGCTGCCTCCTTGTGGTCCCTCCCCTTAGCCTTTCCTGAAAATTAAAATTATGGTAAGAGCAGATGAGATGAGCAACCAGAAAGGATTGAGCGAGAGGGAAGAGACAGAAGGGCGAGGGAAGAAAAAAAAAATAAAAAAATTTTAGGGACATGTTTGCAAATTTAATCTAAAAAATTAGTCAAACCTGACATTATTCGTAAACAAAATAGTTAACTATTGATAATAAACAAAAAATGACCAAAAGACTCAATAGTGACTAAATTGAAAGCACAGCCAATATGCCGGGAAATTTTTTAGTGTGCCCAAAATATAAGGTGGTACATCACGTGTCATTATTCAAATAGTGAGTTATTTGTGTTAAAAAATTACCAACTTAGAAAAGAAAAAAACTCCCATCCATATAATGAAATACGATATATCATCTATGTTCTGGACACAATGAAAAATTTCTCTAATACGCCAATTACGAAAGGAGACCGTTAATTATTCGTTAAACTAGCTAATACCCGCTTGCTATACGTGTTCTGTCACTTTCCAAACATTCCGATAAATTTCAAATCTTCAACAAATTCCTAGCGATAGATTGAGTTCATTATAATTTCCATTTTCCTGGAAAATCATTTTCTCATGAATAATGTCTTGTACAAGAGAAAAAACCATTGAACAACCACCCTTTTAATTTCTGGAAACTCCTAGCCTCCCCCACAATCAGAGACATTGATGTCTTCTCTCTCACCGTTAAAACAAGCCTTGCTCTTTGCTCCGTCGCTTATCTCTCTTATCCTCTACTTCACCTTCTCAAACCACTCTCATAATTTCCCTCCACATCCCAACTCAGTCACCAACTTTAAGCAAAAGGGCGTCTCCGTTCTCGATCACGATCACGAAAAGACAAATATGTCATAAATTTTGTTCGGCATCGGAGGCTCCGTGAAGTCGCGGGACAAACACGGACACTACACCGAGCTGTGGTAGAAGACTAATGTCACCCGTGGGTGCCCAGAAGGAGCTGAAGTGTTGTACAGGTCCAAATTAGAAGCTGCAATGGATTTGAGAGTGCGACTCCTCCATAACAGGTGGAAATTTGGAAAAACTGGCTCATTCTCTAGTTGGACTTACTGTAATTTGAGAACAGATTCTAACCAGAGAAATAGACAAGCAAGCATGGCTCAATTGATAAGTTGGTCAGTTAAAAAATTATGATCTCCTCATTAGGATGGGATGATTTGGGAACTTTAACGAAAAGCTCCGGTACTGTTCATTTTAACGAAAACCACATTATTTTACACTAAAAAATCAATCCTGGTACTACTCACTTTACCCTTTATTTTGTCCTTATCATTAAAACTCAAATGTTTCAAGCCCTTTTCATTAGTTTTTTTTTTATAGGTGGGCTAGCTAAAAAACTTACCGTAAAATCAAATTATAATATTTTTTTGCTACATACATATTTTATGTAAAAATTTAAGTTTAACTTTTGTATTTATTTACTTTAAAATTTGTTTGGCATTAATTAATAAAGCTTTGCAATTACAAATTGCAATAAATCATCCAATTTCACATATACTTAGATGCAAACACAAGAAGAAAATAGAAAACTTAATACACGGACTATCTCAACTATAACCACACAACTAGCATACAACAAACCAATGAAAGTGGAAGTATAGGCAATCTTAAAAATAATTGACTGAAAATAATATAATGTCCATTGAATCAAAACAGGATAATCTTGAACAAAATGACATCACAATTTCCTTAATAACTTTTATATTTTTAATTATGCTAAATACTCACCAAGCTAGTTTCAATAAAAAATAATTCTTCTTGCATTTATTTTGTCTATTATATTAGGCTATACATTAACACACACACACACATATATATATATATATATATATATATATATATATTGCCACAAAATCTCTTTGACCTACAGCCCATCATAGTCTTTGGTGTGGCTCCACTAGTGGGGATGATGATCAAACTATGTTAACATGCATCCTCAGCTCCAAGGAATAATTTTAGAGAGTTTTAACGAAAAGCCTACGGTACTGTTCACTTTAACTAAAAACCACTAAAAAGTCAAACCTGATACTATTCACTTTACCCTTTATTTTGTCCTTATCATTAAAACTCAAAGTTTTCAAACCCTTTTCATTAGTTTTCCTATAATTTTATGAATACTTAAAAATTATTTTTATGATACAATATTATGACAAGCCTATTGTGTGAAAGCCACAACTCCATGTTGTAAAATATTGTTGGTATAAAAAAAAACCTCCATTTTTCCTTTTCGGCCTAAGCAAAAAACTTCCATTTGCTTTTAGGGCTTCTAGGTTTCTAGCCAATTGGCCCATATTTATGAAAATAATGTGAACCATATTCATGTGCTTAGTTTGAATATACCTACAGGCTACAGGCTACACCTACAAGTATATGATTAAAACATAAAATTCAAAAGCTACAAATGGAGGTGGAATCATAAGGTCGGCTTTTGAAGCAAGCTCCATACTTTGAAATATCCTTTTTTATAAACTAATTAAGAAGGGCCAAAATGCTTTCACTCCATGAAGGGCAAGCCCATACATTTCTCTTCAAGAAGTGTGCAGCAATGTTATCCCCAATTAAAGTTAGGATGACGAAAATGAGATGCATTGAGCTTGATTTGGACAAGTCCAATCCAACAAATGGGACCAAAGATTGGCTAGATATTGTGATTGTAACAATAGCTTTAATTTCTCGTGTAAACCATGATAAGTTTCTACATATTAACTTGCCATTAGAAGTTTCTCGATTTGTATGTATAGTTTCCACAATGGTTTGTGTTGGTGTTTGTGACTAAAGATCTTTTTCATTTTGTGGCTGATAATTGGCAATGGGTTAGTGTAGTGAAAAGTTATGGGCTCTAAGGAGTTAGCTATCTTGCACATATGCAAGGCCATCAGCAATGCAAAATGGCACCCAAATGAAGATTTTAGTGTAACTTACTCACACACAAGATGTGAAGTTTGGACAAATAAATTCAGTAATTGAAGTCAGAAATCATGTGAATCATGTGATATACTCTATAAAACAAAAAAAAAACAAAAAAAAACAAAAAAAAAAAAAAAAAAACCCATAGGAGCAAAAATGCTAATAGGTCTTACATCTTACCTTCCGCTTTCTTTGTTTCAGAAAATTTTTGAATTTGATTTTCTGATTGAAGATGGCCTAAGAATCTTTATCTAATATCGATCGACTATTATAAAAATTGAGCGAAAGAGGAGTTGAAATATTTTAACTCAAATAGTTAAAAGTATTTTGCCGTGCACTTGGATTTATGTGCAGCTTGAAAGAAAAAAAAATTGAGGAAGATACATATCAATGATGCTTATGCAATTGTAGTAACTAAATTTTGTGGCGACGAAAGAAGCTTAAACCCTAACCTCAAATCAACTGAGTTCCCCAGAAGCCTCCATTTTGTCTTCATTTAGCAAACCCATGCAGCCCATAACCACCGACTATTCCAAAACCAACGTTCACCTCAGCAGGATACAGTGAGCCACGTAATACCGCCAATCCCAATTGTGTGGCCGTTGGGAATTCATAATTCAGTTCCCATCATCTCTCTCTCTCTCTCTCTCTCTCTCTCTCTCTCTCTCTCTCTCTCTCTCTCTCTCTCCCCGCAATCCAAAGCCTCTCTTTCACTCCTATAAATTCTTCTCCCTGCCCTCCCTCATTTCCACGAGACAAATTTCCCAAACAGTTTGAGCTTAAAGACTTCGTCTTCTTGCTTCAAATTCCCCATCGATCGTAAGCTCTTTCTTTTTTTTGTTTTTTGTTTTTTTGTTTTTTTTTGACGTCTGCAAATCAATGGCTGCTTCAGTCTCAGCAGCAACCATCGCGGCCGTCAACAGATCACCGGTAACTGTGACTTTTTTTGCAACAACCCCAATTTTTTGTTTCCTCTGTTTGTGTCGTTTAAACTCATAAATTTGTAATCTTTGTCATTGTTCTCATAGTCTCTTTTTATTTTTGGGTCTTATCATTTAATTAGTAGGAAATAACTTTCTTTTAATATTTTAATCTTATCTCTGTTCACGTTTGGTACGCGGGACGGGACGTTCTGTCCCACGTTTGGTACGCCTAAAAGGAGTGGGACGAGGCGTTCCACGGGACAAGTTTTTGAGGATTTTTGGTTCCACCTCCCCCCCTGGAACGGGTTGTTCCACGCCCGTGGGACATAAATGTTTAACATTTTAGGACAAAAATGCCCCTTATCTTTTTCAAAATTTATAGCATCAAAATCATATAACAAACCCTAAAAACTATTTCTCTTCTTCTCAGCCGCTGATCCTCTTCACCCCCATCTCTCCCCTTCGCAACCTTCCTCCTCATCTTCTTCGCATCTCCCCTTCGCAACTCTTCCTATAGCAGCTCTGTGAACCTTCCTCCTCATCCTCTTCCGTGTAGCATCTTCAGATCTGCATCTCCGCTCCAGGTTCGATCTGTTTTTGTGTAGCTCTCGGTCTCTCTTTCTTTGTAAAAAAATTTCTTTGTAATTTGATGGCATTGCAGTGAAAACCAATTGTTCAAATGATTGCTGTTGAATTGATTCATCAAATGGTCTCTGGGTTGGTGAGTTGATGTTCGCTCTCTTATATATAATTTTGTTTTACTCTGCCATGATGTAAATTTATCAGATTCCTGATATTGTATTTGTTAATTGGCACAATAGGAAGGGGAGGTTGATCTTATTGAGAGCAAACAGGTTATATTTCTGGTTATGCATTCACTTTGGAAACCTTCGTTGTTTTCTAATTCCTATTCATCTTTGTACTCATTGATTTTCTTTCTTTGTAAAAAAATTTCTTTGTAATTTGATGGCATTACAGTGAAAACCAATTGTTCAAATGTTTTTTTTATTTCTTCTCTGTTTAAGTAACAAGTTTGATTATTATTCTTTGCTTTGTGAGTTTGTACATATTCTACCTCTGTAGTGCAGTACCACTAACACTTCAAATATTCTGGCTTTCTGGTAATGATAAAATTCTGGCAATGTCGATCAACACCACGGGTTGTCTTTGGTTATTGCTAGTATATTAAACAGTGGACATTGATGTATATTAGGACTGAGATATGAAAGCGTTTTTCATGAAAAACAAAGGCGAAGGCTTTGTTTGGTATCTAAGATTATAATAGAATGAATTGAATAACTCTTTAGATAAACAAGTGGATACTTGATGTAAGCTGTAGGAATTAGGAGAAGAAAACCGTTCTTTTGCTTTATGTGGTTGACATTTGCATAATAAAATTTGATGGGTTTGTGCTGAAAATTCAAATGGAGCTATAGAAAACTAGGAGAATAAAAATTACAAATTTTAAAGAGGTTTGCATGTGGAACACAACATATACCTATTAAAATTTGGACCAAGAAAAACAAATAATGGATAATAGTGTTCAAATTTGAACCAAAAAAAAAAAAGTCTTGTCCCGTTCCACGCATAAAATTGTACCAAACAACAAACGGAACATGGGTATTTTAGTCTTTTTAATCTTTTGGTTCCGTTCTGTCCATGCGTTACCAAACGCAGAACAGAACAACCATCTTGTTCCGTCCTGCGCGTACCAAACATAGCACGGAACATTTGTTCCGTCCCGTCCCGTCCTGTCCCATCCCGTTCCATCCCGTCCCGTCCTGTCCCGTCTGCGTACCAAACACTACCTAAAGCCAATTCCATCTTAGTATCACTTAAAAACAGTATTTTGATTATGTAAAGTATTGCACAAACTTTTTTACTTCCAGATTTTAGTGCAATGATTTTTAACATGTATCAAACTGTGCTTTGTAGTTACAAGAAAAATGACTCGCGTAAGTAGCCAAGTAGTGTATTTTTTTTTTTTTTAATGTTATGGTGTTTTTTAGGCAGTGATGGTATTTTTCCTTTTCTGGGTCTGCATGATTTAATCTAAATACGTGGAACTGGAAGTCTGTAATTTCACCTAAATTCTGTTTCGATGCTGAGAAGATAAGTGTTCTAGGTGCAGTTGAACTTCAACGCCTCTGCTTTCTTAGGAAACTACAGCTGGAAGAAGTTGAGCTCCAAGATCATCAACCACCCCAAGACCTCTTCAACTGGGAACTTCAAGGTTTCTGCAGAATACGATGAGTCGAAGCAGACCTCCAAGGACAGGTGGGGAGGACTTGCCTTTGACACTTCAGATGACCAGCAGGACATCACCAGAGGAAAGGGCATGGTGGACACCCTTTTCCAAGCTCCTGTGGGCAGTGGGACCCACTACGCCGTCATGAGCTCCTACGATTACATCAGTACTGGCCTTCGCCAGTAAGTACTAAGTAGCGCTTTTATGTTTTACGTAACAGGGCCATGCTCCATTGAAATGCAGAGTTATAATGTTAGGGCTAGATATTATAATGTTACGGTGTCAATAGAATGTTTAAAAAATTGTACTTGGATCATAAGCTTCGGTAAGTAAAAATCTAAGTATGTTAGAAACTCAGTTTTCAATTTTGTTTCAGACTGGACAACATGATGGATGGCTTCTACATTGCTCCAGATTTCATGGACAAACTTGTGGTTCACATTACCAAGAACTTTTTGAACCTGCCCAACATTAAGGTTTATTAAATTTTCATCAATTTTAGTTCCAATTCTGTGGGTAGTTTATAGATATTTTCTAATTGATTGGGAATTTCAAATATATTGGTACAGGTTCCTCTTATTTTGGGTATCTGGGGAGGCAAAGGTCAAGGAAAATCATTTCAATGTGAGCTTGTCTTCTCCAAGATGGGAATCAAGTGAGTATATATTTCCTTTTCTTGCTTATGAAATTGGGATTTTAGAAGGCAAATTAAAAGAGGAAGTGATTTCCGTAAACTTCTTTTCTTCTTTTACGCAACTTAGTTTATTTTTGGTGTTTAGATTTTTTTTTTTAAAGAAATATCAACGGTACGAGAGAAATTTTACTGAATAAGAAAAAAAAAGTTACACCTAATCAAGGAACACATAAAACCTTACGCCTCATAAGACAAGAAAGAGTAAAGTGACAATACAAGAAAAAAAATGAGGACATCAACCTGATTCCTCTTATATATATATATATCAAGACGGGCAGTGTAAAGCCTAAACTCTTCTAAATAAAAACCTAAAAAGCATAAACATGCAAAACAAGTTGCAAAGCGTCAAAAGCAATGGGTTAGGAAAAAATGAAAAAGCATACATCATAAAGGGGGAACAAACCTGACCAAGATGCACATTAATATGAAAATTCGAAACCATGCAAACCAAGAAAATCCAAATGTAAGGAGGCACAGACCGCTGATAAAGGGGAGGCATGCCAAACCAAGGTTGAAGAAGAAAAGCTCATGTTAGCAAATTTGTTAGCAGCCATATTCCCTTCTCGATAAATGTGTGAGCACCAAAAAGTCATCTCCCAAATTCGATCCAAGCAATTATGACTCGTCCTGATCCCGATATTCCTCGAATATCAGGATAGGCATGTGCTGGCCGACACCCGAAGGTAACGAAAGCCATATATTGAATGCAAAAGTTGAGAATAAGGAATAAATAAGGCTTATAAATATAAAAGAATAAAGAATATGCATTTAAGGAATGTATTCAGAGCATACAACTAACTTAAACACTAAAAGGATTTATATAAAAATTGAATGAAGAAAAGAATGGGTCCTACACCGAGAGGACTCGAAGATGCCGATGCAGAATTGCCTAGACGCCAAGATTGTATGCCTCAATTCTAAGTCCTGAAGGGGGCACAAAACAAACATGAGTAGACCAATTTGATATATAAATAGTAAAATAGTTATCAACGTACTAACCCCCAGGTTTTATGAAAACACATATATATCATGATAAACATAGGTTTTCCGAAACCTATGATGCCGTGCAATGTCTCAAATCACAACTTGTATATATAATAATCAATAGTGAATATTCAATGACCCCCAGGCCCCATGCCGGCTCCCCGTCTCTGAGCAGACAGTCAGAGGAAAATACATTCCAAGCCCCATGTAGGCTCCCGGTCCCTGTGCTAAATAGTCAGAGGAAACACACTCCAGGCCCTATGCCAAAACCAAACCGTCGTCCAGGACGGACCAAAAGGACCATTAGGTAAGTACAAAACCATTGAACATATATATATTGAAAAACAACTTCATAGTATAAAGTCATCCATCATCTATACTATAAAGAGGTGTTCTAAACATGTTCTAAATATCATATCGTCATCTATAAGATATTCTATAAGAACATGGGTTATAGGAAAAATAGTAATAATTCAAAATAGTCTCAGTATGCATTACTACTATTAAAACAAGCATTTTTAGACACTCACAGATACTTCGCCGCTAAAGAGCTATGTAAACTTGCGAAGATAGAAACGCTACAATAATTGCCTCTAAGCACATAAATGGTACATTTAGTCAAACTCTACTCAAATGATTGAATTTGAGAAAATGGACTTCAAAAACGGATCCAGAACGTCGAAATTAGCCTAGGAGGGGTCTCGGACGAAATCCCAAAAAGTCAACCCTAAAAGTCAACGTTGATCGTTGACCGTTGACCGGTCAAAATCAAAGTCAACGGGTCAAAGTCCACAGGTCAATCAGTTTGGTCAAACCTGGTTGACTAGTTTAGGGTTAGGGTTTAGGTTTAGGGCTTTAGGGTTTAGGGTTGAACTTAGGGGTTTAGGGGAAATAGGGAAAAGGGTTTAGAATTTGGGTTTTAGGGTTTAGATAAATAGGTGGGTTAGGCTTAGGGGTTTTAGGATTGGGTTAAGAGGTCTCTGGGCTCGAGCCCAGACCCACATGGCCTGAGGGCCTAATTCGAAAGGGTTTAGGGTTTTAGATAAGGCCGAAAGGCCTTGGTTTAATAAATAAATAAATAATAAAAGAAAGGGAAAGGGAATCAGGGGACAAAACAAGGGGTGGGCCCCTTGGGCACACCATTTAAGACCAAAAAAACCATTTTTAAAAGGAAAAATATCCCCAAATGAAAATACAAAAACACCCTTTTTGTTACGTAAATCTCGGGACGGGGTGTTACAATCTACCCCCCTTAAAAGAATTTCGTCGCGAAATTTAAAATAATTTGCTACATTGAAAAACTTGAAAATAGGAAAAAGAAAAATATGTATATATGGCTAAGAAATCAAGTTAGAGCGTTGCACAAAAAGGGAAAATGCCATCCTGTTGCGATCGGGTTGTAATGATTCCATCTTTCGTGCCTCCAGGCTCATACCTTCTTTCCCCATCAGTGTAAAAGTAGAAACATACTTTTAAAAGATATAAAATAAAAATATATATAAAAATAGTGTATGGTCAAAAGTAAGTACGTAAAATAGGATAACGTCAAAATAGATATGTACTAACATATAGGTTGAAAATTCGTGCTGAATGTAAAATTGAAAATGGAAATACTTCCCCCAAAACATTTGTAACGCCAAAAACAAATAACTAAAGTAAATGAAGTTAAAATACTTATACTGAAAAATGAGAATGGGTCTCGCCTAAGCATACGAACGTTAAGCACTTCGAGAACATGAGTCTTTGGTTAGAGTCCCAAGCATAACAATTCCGTGACAACTACCGTAAACAAATCTTCTTGCCCACTTGCTTAACGAAACCAACGAATAAGTTTTCGATACGACAGTCGGCTGCCCGCGATATCGATCACACATTTGTTGTCTCGGTAAACAAGCAGTAATTCTTTAAGGGTGCACAATTTCACACTTCGTAAATTCGATCCTCCAAATACAAGCTCGCACAACTCCTCTATCAACCAGTGTTGCATGTGGAAAAATTTCGTACCATGTCACAAAAAGTGCCATACCCTAAACCGAACAAAACAGAAACTATCGTCTTAAAATTCTACCCAGCACCAAGCATCATTTTCTCCTCAGTTCTTCCAAATGTGACCAACTACTCTAGTATTTTGCCAACAAATAACCCATTTGAAAACTGTACCTTGAGATTCAAGAGAAGTGGCTACCATTTTAGTAGTAAACCTAAAAGCTCGAACCAAGCAAACAGAAAACGAGAAGTCATCTTCCTCAACACGCAATATTTCTTGGGAGTTGTTGCAGTGCTTAATCCACCTTTCCATTTTTGCTTAGTTGTAGATATCTAGTCAAACAAGTTAATGTTGGTGGAAAGAAGGACTCGCAAGTAATGAAGCAGCCTGCGTATGGATGCAGTGACACGATTGGCTACCTTAAAATGATGCCCTTAAGCAAACCAAAGCTCAATGAGTATAGAGAAGTTTAGAGCAAAACTTGATCTTTGTACAATGATAAATATGGTAGTCTCAAGCCATTGCATTGAAAATTTCAAGGCTGGACAGTTAGTGGATAAAAGCACTGATAAATTGGGCTACAAGCAAGATGTTGAGTTCACTTCTACCGAAAAGTATAAGGACAATGAGCTAGGGTTTACCGCCGAGTACCAAACCTAGGTGAAATTCAAGGAGTTTATTTATCCAAACAAGTTTGGATCTTCATCATCCAAGTCCAACTACAACGACAACAAGAATCGCAACTCCATTTTGGGAAATTGATGAGAATATCGTTCACTATTGAAGAGTTTCCCAAGAAAAGTATATAAACTAAACAATATCAACGCTCGAAGAATTTGATGTGAAGCTGATGGTCAAAGGTTAGTGAATTTGACTTCACTGTTGAAGTAAGCAAAAAGGTTATCGATAGAACAATCGCTGAGAATTGCTCTAAAGATCCACACGAATTTCTTTAGTGGTAATAAGTCCGAGAACATTGATTTCCTCCCACCAACTACCACTTACTAACCGTCGTCACAACTAGCTCTTACTCGCTTTTGCTATCACGCATTTCAAAAGTTTCGAGTAATTTCCAAAGAGATACGACTCTGCCCGTCATTCTTAGGGACCACATGTCACAGAGTACAACACCACTTCAAATCTTCCAAATTCAAACCACTTAGGTTTTTTTTGTTTCCCAACACTCTTATATAGATCCACTCCGCCCGCAATTCCTAGGGAACGTATATTGCGGAGTATCGATCTAATGTTGAAAGTTGTCCAACAATCCACTTCATCACTGTTGAGGCACAATCCCAACACGAATTCTTGTATTTCAACCAAAATTTGACAATTCAAATAGAGAAAGGTTAGCACAATTGCGCCGAATGGCACCAAATCCAGAAGTCCTGACATCCAAATGATGTCAAAATCGACAAATTATGAGAATAGAAGAGAATCCTAAGTATAGAAGAGAATCCTAAGTATACTCTGAAAAAACCACACTCTGATACCAATCTGACATGCCCGGATCTTGATATTCCTCGAATATCAAGATAGGCACGTGCTGGCCGACACCCGAAGGTAACGAAAGCCATATATTGAATGCAAAAGTTGAGAATAAGGAATAAATAAGGCTTATAGATATAAAAGAATAAAGAATATGCATTTAAGGAATGTATTCAAAGCATACAACTAATTGAAATACTAAAAGGATTTATATAAAAATTGAATGAAAAAAAGAATGGGTCCTACACCGAGAGGACTCGAAGATGCCGATGCGGAAGTGCTTGGACTCCGGGATTGTATGCCTCAATTCTAAGTCTTGAAGGGGGCACAAAACAAACATGAGTGGACCAATTTGATATATATAAATAGTAAAACAGTTATCAATGTACTAACCCCCAGGTTTTATGAAAACACATATATATCCCTCTTACGACCCAATGACCTGCAGCCGTGTTGGAGGGCCTATCCTTACATCGTAGCTAGCCCACTTTTGGCTGGGCCGCGTTATTTTTTCAACCAATGCCAATGTTTGGCATCCCTGCATTGTAAATCATGCCTAAATATTTTCTTGGGGTACTTTGGTTTACGTTAATTAATTCTAATTTAATTATCACTTGGTTTATCACCAACCGAAACTAATATGATCCATCTGTCATTTTTTTGCTTCCACGATCAATCCTGTTTGGTCACAATCTATTGAATTAATTAAGAGTGACCATCAATCCATTAATTTGATAATTAATCCAAAATTATTAACCTGAAGATCACTTTTGGACATTAATGATTCAATAATTTATTTTTATACTTTGAACCGTTGACATCCTTTCGTTATCCCGAAGCTTTCACCCTTAAGTTCCCAAAGCAACTTAAATCCATTACACTTAAATCAACATATTGCATTCTGTGTTCTTGCAGGAACCTCTCCTTTATGAACTAATCGTTCATAAAACTAAATTGAACCTATATTTTAATATTTAGTGCCTTTGACATCGCGAAGTTTTCATTCAGAGCTTACCACATGAAACCTGTAGCTTTCATGCTTAAATGAAACTTATACATGTCTATAGAACCTGAATGTTCTACGATGTATATATGGCTTTCCATATGATTAACCACGTCTTTGTACCCCTTGTTTTAGGGACATGTTGAACTTGAACAAGCTCGATTTCACCGCTTTGGAAGTATATGGAAGAAACTACCTGAAGTGGGTTCAAGACGTGAAGCTCCACCTCACCGCAAAGGGTATTAGAGCCACCATCGAGGAACCTATCGACAATAAACCCGTCGATGAAGTTGAGAAAACTACTGCTATGATCTTGATTCGAAGACACATCCATGATGCACTGCAAACCAAGTACTTTGTTGAGGAAGATCCACGCATCTTCTGGCTTGCTATAACCGATCGTTTCGATCATCAGAAAGACATTTACTTTCCTGAAACAAGACACTGCTGGCAGCATTTACGCTTCTAAGACTTTAAGTTTGTGAGTGAATACAACTCTGAAGTTTGTAGAATTCGATCACTGCTTAAGTTCTGTAAAATGGATGTAACAAACGATGATCTTTTAGAGACGACCTATTCGACCTTTAATGCCACAAATATTGTCCTGCAAGAACAATATAGGACATAGAAGTTCACCAAATTTTCATATTTGAATATAGCGCATAGAAGTTCACCAAATTTTCAGATTTGATCTCTGTTTTACTTATCGCTGAAAAGCAAAACTAGCTTTTGATTAAGAATCATCAAATTCGACCTACTGGCTTAAATGCTTTGCCTGAAGTGCATGTGACTAATTCTAGTAACCACAAATGATGAAAGAATCGTCGTGGCCGTGGTAATGGGCAGCAAGCCCACCCACGGGTCCAAGGTCCACAGAGCCAAGGCCCACCCAAGGGAGGAAATTTAACCTAGAAGCGCCAACCCTTTGCCCCTAAGGCCCTAAACTTCAAGAACAAGGGAAAAGCTACCATTCAATTGGCTTCCATTGAATTGGACATATACTACCGTTGTGGATCAAATGATCATTGGTCATACGTATGCTGAGCTACCGCCGAGGCCATTACCAAATGTCATGCACGTCGTGAGTCTAACTTTGCCCATGTGGAACATCTCGAAGATGCTATTACATTTATGGAGATATCAGATTTTCTGGAGTCATTCTCTCTTATAGAAGAATAAAGTTTTATTTTTCTAGACATGTTTTTTAGGATGTTTTTACCCTTAGTGGCCGAACCCACTAGGAGTGGTCGAACCCTTCCTATTTTCTAGGTTTATGATTTAATTTTGGACAATTTTTCCAAGTCTTTGGAATAATTTGTTTGGTTTTGGTTTGTTTTGAATTATGGATATTATTTCTCGATTGATTAATTGAATGAGTGGAATTTTATTTATGCATGTGACCAATTTAATTAATTTATTCCTAGGTATGACTAGTGGGGAAGTTAGTTGTCTGGCTGATAGTGCTACCATGCACACCATATTGCATGAATGACACTATTTTACTAACTTCGTATCTAAAAATTCACCTCTAACAATCCTCTTAGGTCCATCCAACTTGATTGAAGGATAAAAAAATGCTCGTATAATGATGTCTAATGATACTGTCTTAACCATTAAAGAGACCCTTTATTCTCCACGTTCCAGAAGAACGTTGTTGAGCTTTAGAGATATTCGAGATAATCAATATCATGTTGAAACCACTGAAAATAATGACTCTGAATTTCTTTGTATCACTTCTTACGAGTATGGCCAGAAGCGTATTCACGAGAAGTTGGAACGTGTCCCTAGAGGGTTGTACATTACAACCATTTGTGGCATAGAGGCCCACCATGTAGCCAACCCTGTGCCTGGGTTTCAGAAACTTTACTACTTTGGCATGACTGTATGGGACATCCCGGACGTGACATGATGCATAATATCCTCAAATCATCACATGGGCATCATTTAACTCCCTATGTTGGATTCCCGCCTTGCAAAGCTTGTTCTTTGGGGAAGTTGAATACTTAACCCTCAATTACAAAGATCATTCACAGCCTTCCTAAGTTTCTTTAGAGGATTCAAGGGGATATTTGTCGACCTATCCAACCAACAGGCGAACCATTTAGATATTTTATGGTGTTGGTTGATGCATCAACAAGTTGGTCACATGTCTGTTTATTGTCCACATGCAATGCTGCATTTAAGAAGTTTTTAGCACAAATTATTAAGCTTAGGGCTTACCACCCTGATTATCCGATCAAGTAATTCAACTGGATAATGCTGGAGAGTTTACGTCATAGAATTTTGACGATTATTGCATGCCTATTGGGATATGTTGAACATCCTGTACCCCATGTTCACACCTAAAACAGCATGGCAGAAGCTTTCATAAAGCGTATTCAATTGATAGCTCAGACTTTGGTTATGCAAAACAAATTACTGGTATTTGCTTAGGGCTATGCAATATTGCACGCATCTATGTTGGTTCTCCTAAGGCCCACCGCTACCCAACCTCATTCACCGTTATAGTTAGTTACTGGATATGAGCCCGACGTCTCGCATTTACGTGTGTTTGTGTGCATAGTCTATGTGCCAATAACGCCGCCACTATGTACCAAAATGAGTCTTCAGAGAAGAATGGAAATCTATGTCGGTTATGATTCTACATTAATTATTCGCTACTTAGAGCCATTGACAAGAGATCTCTTTACCACACATTTTACGAATTGTCATTTCGATGATACAGTATTCCCATCGTTAGAGGGAGATAAGAACGCTAATATTCCTGTAGAATGCCATGAATTGTAGTGGTATACTCCCACTATGTCTCATCTATATCTTCACATTACTCAATTTGAAACTGAAGTGCGTCGTATTCTAGATCTTCAGAGCATTGCTCAAAACATGCTAGATGCTTTTATTGATCTAGCAAAGGTGACGAGATCACATATACTCGCTGCAAATGAGCCTACAAGGATCAATATCCCTAAAGTATACCGGCCTTGGAAGGTCGAACCGTCCCCAAGGGTCGGGCGGTCACATCTCCCACGTGACATAGTACATTGGCGGCTAGCTAATTATTTGCTCTTACCCTAAAGAGTGGTAGACCCATAATGCAAAGGATTCACATCTCTAAAAGAGGAAAACGACATAAACTAGTGACCTTAGTCTGAATTCGACCATCGATTACTCATCTGTTCCAACGCATGAGGTTATTCTAGATTACAATGATCTTTTATATGAGACAAACAGGCTTTCCAAAAATCACGAGATTTCGGTCCACTATGCAATATTGGATGAGGTTTGGAATCAAAATGACATGATCGTCGACGATGCATTTGTGTACACAATAGCTATTAACATCACGCTTAGTGATGACATTGAACCATGTTCTGTTGATGAATGTTGACGTAGAATAGATTGTCAAACTAGAAACAAGCAATCCAGGTCGAACTTAATTCGCTTGCGAAACTTAAGGTGTTTGGGCTCGTAGCTCCTACTCCACCACATATGAAGCCCATAGGCTACAAGTGGGTTTTCGTGAAGAAGCATAATGAGAAGAATGAAATAGTGCGATACAAAGTACGCCTCGTAGTGCAAGGCTTCTCTTAATGCCCTGGGATTGATTATGAGGAGACGTATTCCCCCATAATGGATGTCATAACATTCCGCTACCTTACCAGTTTGGTAGTTTTTTTAAAAACTAAATATGCAGCTTATGGACGTGGTAACTGCATATTTATATAGGGATCTAGATACAAAAATCTATATGAAAGTTCCAGAATGACTTCCATTGACTGGTTCAAATAGTTCTAGACTATGGAACACTCTCTCGATTATGTGAACAATGAACTATGCACATGCGTGTTCATTAGGAAGTCACATTCCAAATTTGCTATCGTTGCAGTTTATGTCAACGACATGAATCTATCGGAACTTCTACAGAGCTTGAGGAAATTGACGTTCACTTAAAAATTGAAATTGGAGATGAAAGAACTTGAAAAACTAGATATTGTCTAGGCCTGGAGATTGAGCACTATTCGGATGGAATCCTAGTACATCAATTGAACTAACCCAAAAGGTGTTGCGACATTTTAATGAGGATAAAACGAAGCCTTCGAGTACTTCTATGGTTGTTCGAACTCTAGATGCTAAACGAGATCCCTTTCGTCCTAAAGAGAATGAGGAAGAGATTTTAGAGCGTGAAGTTCCATACCTAAGTGCAATTGGTGCTTTATTGTACTTGGCTCAATGCATTAGACCCGACATCTCATTCGCTGTTAATCTTTTGGCTAGAAATAGCAACGCGCCTACATGCAAACATTGGAATGGTGTTAAAGACATTTTTCGCTACTTCAAGGGTACGACGGATTTAGGCTTGTTCTACACCTAGAGGAGTAGTCACCTTCTTCGGTCCTGGGGTTGATTCCTGCCTTATTGGTTATGCAGATACTGGTTATCTGTCTTACCCACATGGGGCACGTTCTCAAACAAGCTATGTCTGTACCATTGGAGACATCGCTGTATCTTTGAGGTCTACCAAGCAAACGCTAGTTGCGACTTCTTTTAGCCAAGCTGAGATTCTAGCCTTGCATGAAGCCTTGAGTGAGTGCTTTTGGTTGAGAGCAGTCATGGAACATATTCGAGCACTAGTGGTCTTAATTTCATCGTTGAGCCTTATGACGATCTTTGAAGACAATGCTGCATGTTTCGAGTAATTAAAGAAGGGATACATCAACAGAGACAACACCAAGCATATAGCTCTGAAGTTCTTTTACTCTCACCAGCAACAACAACATCAGAACATTGAAGTCAATCAAATCCGTTCCCAGGATAACCTGGCCGATCTCTTCACCAAGTCATTGCCCAAGTCTATTTTTCAGAAGTTCGTCCAAGGAATCAGTATGCATAAATTATCTGAGTTGAATTGCTTGTAGTTCTCTAATTTGGATGTTATGTCTAACTCAGAGGGAGTATCCAGAAGCATACTCACTTGATCTTCATGTACTCATTTTCCTACGATTAGGAGCTTTTTTTCATTGGGTTTTTGCTACCTAACGAGGTTTTGATGAGGCACCCATCCTGGGATGATCATACTTTGTTGAGTTCACTACTTTCATCCCGTATGACGGTTTTTTAGCCATTATGCGCACTTCTCATTTTTCTCCTTAGTCTATGGTTTTTTACCTGCCTTAGGTTTTAACATAGGGAGGTTTTGTGAGTTTTACTACCAATGCATATTTTCTTTAAATTTGAGACTCGCATTCGCTTGCGGGTACAGGAACCGCGGGTCGAGATGGGTAATCAAGGTTCAGGGCAGGTTCCAAAAATATAGGAAAAGAGGTACCCATATCGGCCCGTGTTGGGTACTGTCTCCCAGGCCCATTTCCTTTTGTTCCTTCCCATAATAGTTCTCATTCTCGAGAACACTCCACACACAAGCACCCCACTTCCTTTTGTTCCCCCAATCTCTCGAAAGGTCGAACCTTCTCCTTCATTCCTCTTCTTTGTTTCTTCTCCCCCCCATCTCTGCAACTCTCCTTCTCAGAGCACAGACACACCACACCCGCACCCACACCCCACCTCGAGAAGAAGACTTATGTCACGCCGGTGTCGAGATCCAGTTAGAAGCTT